ACGAAATCGGGGTGTAACTTAAATGTCAACTAATTAATGTTTGTTGTCTGTAAATTTGTTATTGTTACAGTTGTCGTTGTTGTTGTCGACGTTGTCCACAAAAAGCTACTTGTGAATGTTTTGCAACTGTAGGACCAGAAACTACAGAAGACAAATATCTTTTCCCTGGCCAAGGATGGTGGTGATGGTGGGTATGGAAGAAGAATAAAAAAACCCAACCACAATGTGAAACAACAGCAGCCACTAAAGCCAAAAAAATAATGAAAAACAATCATAATCGAGACATGAAACAAATATGTAATGAATGAGTGTTTACATGTTATAATATTTCACTGTCACAAGTCCTTGCGAGTGGAAAAATAGCGATGCGGCGATGGCGACAACGTTGCTTTACAAGTAGTACATATACAAAATTCATATGTATGTATGTTGGTACATATTTATATCCGATACTTGTAAGTGGTGTGATGTAAAATAAGTTCGGAAGCCTAAAACTTAAGAACAAATCTTCTTTTTGAATATAGCTACCTGATTTAAATTGGCCCCATATTTTAATACACTCCTTATTTTAAGTTGTTTGATGGCCCTCAGGCATTTTCCAAGCGAAGTGGCTGTTATTTGGCATTTTAGGTTATTGGTGGTTAAAAAATTTATTAGGTCCATGTTTTGACATAGCCATAGTAAACATAACGCTAATATTTTACAGAAAACCTATCATTCCTCTGCTAAAAGAACATACTCATTTTATTTAATGCTACCATAAAAACCATTCAACGTGGTCGATGTTTGGCAGGTTTCACTTAAGCTCCACCTGAAACTTCTTCTTCACCAAGATCTCATTGGAAATAAGCAAGACAAGCGAATGAACGAAACAAAATATGTATAAAAAACAAAACCTTGTAATCACAAACATATTTATTAATAATAATTTAATTATGACAACTAACTTGATGTCCATCGCCGCTACGGTCGCCACAGCCTGTGAATTGTTGTCTTGCAGCATGGATTGGCCTCATGCCAGTTATTATTCTAGCAGTGATTGTGGTGTAATAAAATTTAAGTTGCAGTTAAAATATATGGAATTTTTTATAAAGTAATTGATAAGTTTAATTTGAGATACCCAATGTGTAGTTGTTCGGCTATAATATTTAATTCGTGCAATCATGAAATATGTAAAATAATGATCCGCTATAATGACAAACTTATGTATTAATAAGAAGTGCAAAATATTAATTTAATTATGTGATTTGTTGGTGGTTATTTTATATACCGATCTCGTTTTTATTTTCCCCAGCATGTAATTGAGCATATAGCCATTTGTGATATGAAGAAATAAATTTTACTTCGATATAAAGTATTAGCTAACTTTTACGGACAATAACTTGATATTTTGGTCATATCCCCTAATATTATTATTATAGCATATTAATGATGTCCGATAAATAGGAAATTTATTGTAGGTGACCAAATTGAGACAAGAATGTCTATTTAGTTAATTGGTCCAAATTATGTATGGGAACAATACCCAAATATCAATCGATGAAAAGCAAAATTGATAAACACCATTCTAGTCTTGATATAAAACCCAACGAAATGTTGATCCATATATAAATAAACCGAATTCAATTAATCCTTATGCATGTTGTTCGATAATCTATTCACAATTGTATGTTGATCGGGCAGACTTTCGTATTTCATGTATCTTGTGTCCATGCCATTCCATGCATAGGACACAATACGTCTTTAGGTATGGTGCCCGGCTTGCCCGAGATTAATTTATATTAATTTCAGTACGTTGTGTCAATTTCAGTACGTTGTGTCGGCCTAGCTTAAGTGCACCATTTACCTAAAATCGGACGAAAATATATATAGGAACTATATGTAAATCTGAATCGATTTCAAGAAAACTTGACACATGTAAAGTTATGGTACCTTATAGTTATAGTAAAGTACATGGTACAAAATTCAAAAACTTTGTACAAAATGCACAAACTTCAAACGTTGGGTCTTTAGAGCAAACACATCATTCTAGACTTAATTCAGTACGATATGCCAAATTTCATCCAAAACGAAAGATATATAGAGACTAATCTAAATTAGAAATGGTATTTACCGGGTAAATGCCCTTGGGTAAACTTGGACCCAGAGACCCCATTTTCAATATCAGTATTCGCTGTGACATTGAAAACATGTGAGCCAAATTTTGGCCGCCTATATCAAATGGTTCGCCAGTTAATGAGTTTATACTCAATTTTTGGATAAATACTCCAAATAGGGGTACCTTTGTATGGGGGCTACCAGAAAACGTAAACTTACATTGACAAAATTTTGCATGGATATTTGGTTCCCATAGAGAACCCTCTGGGCCAAATTACAGCCACTTTGTCTTATAGAACGAAAATACTTTAAATCGGGTATATGGGGTTACGGTTATATGGGGGCAATATCAACACTTGGACCCAGAGACCACTTTTCCATGCCAATATTCGCTCTGACATTAAAACCATGTGAGCCAAATTTTGGGCGTTTATGGCAAGTGGTTCGCCAGTTAACGAGTTTGTACCAGGGCTGTCCACACTTATACAAATTCAAATTTTGTGATTGTATTTGTTTCCAAATTCAACTATGACAGAACGTAGTTTTGCTTTTTTCTTGGGTTCCCTTAAGGTCCAATTTGGTACGTTGTGCTCAAATTCATCCCAATCGCAAATACTTATGTTACTTATTCGGTACACCAGTTAAATGAAATCGGATGGAAATATATATGCAAGCTATATATAAACCTGAACCGATTTGAGTACGCTGTGCAATTTTTTGTCTCAATAGGACAAGTATTGGGAGTTTGGTGCACCATTCAGATAAAATCGCACGTAAGTATATAAGGGAGCTATATCTAAATCTGAACCGATTTCACCAAACTTTGCATACATCAATATGCTGATAATTCAGTATGCTGTGCAAAATTTTTCACACTCGGGAGCTATATCTAAATCTTAACCGATTTTCTCCAATTTCAACTGGGTTCGTCCTTGGGCCAAACAAGTGATCTGTGCCAAATTGGTTCATAAATGCATCCTGTACTTTGCTCACAAAAATACATGGACGGACTGACAGATGAACATGTATAAATCGACTCAGAAAATTATTCGATGCATATTCTCAAAAGGAACCATGGGTCTATCTCGTTGCAATTTGTCTGTTACAAACATATGCCCAAATACAATACCCTGTACCACAGAGTAATTAATGATATGAATACATTGCATACTGTTAGGCGCAAACTACACAACAAATTTATCCAGAACACCCTGTTACATTTATGTACATAACATAAACAATGAGTCACCCCTTGTTTAATGTCCATACATTTTCGAAGACATTTGGTATGTTCCCGTACTGCAAGAATTTACTACTTTTTACTCCGATAACGAATTTTCCTTTATGATATCGAAGAAAATAGTAAAATCGAGTAGATTCTTGCAGTAAGGGAACAGACCAATTTACAACCGATGTGACATTTGAAATAGAGTTGATTTCGCAGTTTAAACGCGCCATAAAGTGTAAATAAGTGAAGTGTAGATCTTTATAAAATATATTTTAACAGTTCTGTTTTCCGGAATATTTCTATATTTATTTTATATCTCATTCTCTAAAACTTATTGAAGGTCCCTAACAATACACACCAGGTCTGTGGAAATCACGATAGAGCTCGCAATATAAACAAGTGGAAAAATCGATCTATCTCAATTCCTTAAGAAGATAGCGTGATTACAACAGACAGACGGACGGACATGGCTAGATCGTCTTAGAATTTTACACTGATCAAGAATATATGTACTTGATAGGGCAAAATTAATATATCCTCCATATTATGGTGGAAGGTATAAACATAGAGATTTGCTACTACTCTTAGCAAGTTGTGACAACTCCTATTGAAATTGTGATATAGCGTTCTCGGTTTGGTGTATTTCCCTTATAATGGTATGCAGTGGGTAGCAAATCTTCCAACCGTAAATTGAGACTTGGCTGTAATTTGGATTTTCGGGACCTTGATACGTGAATAACTTCTTCGCAGAACATTTTCTATTCAGAGACAAATTCAAATTCATGTTTCCATATATTCACCAAACCATGGACACGAGACATTTTCGGTAGGTTCTAGATCCTAGCACAATTTTCCAACCTGAGTGTCTATAGTTTGTTATTCTCTTTTGTCCCCATTTTCTCCAATTTACCATGACATAACCCCCATCTAATTTCTGTTCTAAAGCCTAGAAATCTAAATTGTTTTCGATTTTACGTTTATATATTTGAAATGTCCATTTTTTAATATGAAGACACACACAATAGATGGACATTTTCATTTCAAAATAATAAAACATTTATTTCCGCCCACCGTGTTAATCATCCCTTGCCTTTAACATAACATATGTTTTCCGAAAAAGAAGAAGAACTCAAATTGTCGATAATGACGCATAAACAACTATCGATTATTTGCCTGCTCTAGCCAGAAATTTGTTTTGATTGTCGTCAGCAGCAACAACAACAACAACACACCTTACTGCAATTACACCTCTTTAATAAGATTATTTAAATTATTTAAAATGGAAGCTATTAAATTAAAAAGCAAAAGTTGCAACAACTCCACCCAAGAAAATGCAGCTAAAAAGAACTTGGCAGAATATTGTTTTATAAAGGCACGGCACACAATGTCACTGTCCAGTTGCACGACAACCGTCATACGGAAAGCACGAAATAAGAGAAAAACAAAAATCGGAATCGTAAAAAAGGCAGAAACGTGCAGTAAAAAACCTTCTGTGATAAATTTAATTTCAAACGGAAGTTCTAACGATTCAATGCATTGTGGGGAGTGATTGTTTTTTGGCTGCAAACGTTCTAAGAAACTTATTCCGACGCGGCAACTGGTGGTTGGTTGCGACAGAAAAAAAATCATCTAATAGAGTTCTATGAAAAGCGCGCCCAAGAAGGTGTTCGTTACGTTTGCTTCTTTGCCTCAGAGTCTCTGCATTAAGGAGTAACCTCCTAATACATTAGAAACACGCAAACATTTGGATTAAAGGAACAAAAAATGTCCGTTTATGCATGGGTAAGCAACAACAACAATTTAAGAACAACAACAGCATTTGTACTTTTGCTACTGTTGACAAATTCAATTGATAAACATTGGCCAAAACGAGGGGTAGGTTATACAGTTTACCTTGATGGCTTATATCTGGACGGGGTTAAAATAAGGAACAGTATTTGTACAACTTACATTACATGGTGGTACAGACTATTATGTCTATCTGCTTATGTTTGCAACATTAAAAATGAAGCAATATAGGCCCATAGATACTTTTAAGGATATAAAATTTTAGTTATTTTTACCGTTATAATTACTATGTTTTGGTTTCTACTCCTATTTTGATTCTTATAGGTAATTATACCCTTCACCCCACTGTGGTACAGGGTATTATGTCTTTATGCATATTTTTGTAACAGGCAAAAGGAAACGAGATAGACACATGGTTCCTTTTGAGAATATGCATAGAATCACTTTCTGAGTCGATTTATGCATGTCCGTCTGTCCGTCCGTCTGTAGATCTTAAATTGTAAACAAAGTACAGGTCGCATTTATGATCCGATTTGGATGAAATTTGGCACAAGTCACTTATTTGGCCCAAGGACGAACCCTATTGAAATTGGGAAAAATCGGTTCAGATTTAGATATAGCTCCCATATATATATTTCGTCCGATTTAATGTAAACGGTCCCTATATATCTTTCGATTTGCACGAAATTTGGCACAGCGTAATGAATTAGGTCTAGAATGATGTGTGTAAAATTCATAAAAATCGGTTCAGATTTAGATATAGCTCCCATATATATTTTCGTCCGATTTAAGGTAAATGGGGCACCAAAGTCCCTCTATATCTTTCGATTTGCATGAAATTTGGCATAGAGTACTGAATTAGGTGCAGTATGATGGGTGCCAAGTTTCGAGAAAATCGGTTCAGATTTAAATATAGCTCCCATATATAGTTTCGTCCGATTTAAGGTAAATGGTACACCAAAGTCCCTATATATCATTCGATTTGCACGAAATTTTGCATAGAGTACTGAATTAGGTCCAGAATGATGTGTGCCAAGTTTCGAGAAAATCGGTTCAGATTTAGATATAGCTCCCATATATGGTTTCGTCCGATTTAAGGTTAATGGTACACCAAAGTCCCTATATATCTTTCGATTTGCACGAAATTTGGCAGAGAGTATTGAATTAGGTCCAGAATGATGTGTGCAAAGTTTCGTGGAAATCGGTTCAGATTTAGATATAGCATCCATATATAGTTTTTTCCGATTCTATGTAAATGGTGCACCAATGTTCCTACATACCTTTCGATTTACATGAAATTTGGCATAGAGTACTGAATTAGGTCCAGAATGATATGTGCCAAGTTTCGAGAAAATCGGTTCAGATTTAGATATAGCTTCCATAAATAGTTTCGTCCTTTTTAAGGTAAATGGTGCACCAAAGTCCCTATATATCTTTCGATTTGCATGAAATTTGGCACAGCGTACTGAATTAAGTCTTGAATGATGTGCGCTAAGTTGCTGAAAAAAATGGTTCTGGTTTCGATATACCTGCCACATATTCATATATGTTCGTCCGATTTTACATAAATGGTGCACCAACCTTCTAATGTTGGTCCGATTAACACGATTTTTTGCACAACGTATCAAGTTGGAACTTGAATAACGTTATTGCGTTATGTTGAAATTGATGTAGATACTGTCATAGCTTCCATATGTATTTTGAATGGATGTCTAAATGAAATTAAAATTTTAACAGTGCGGCGAGCGAATAGCATGTATTAATTTTGCTATAAGTCGTTTTTCATAAATTTGTCCCATGGTACGAAGTCGACTTTAAATCTGCCCGAATGAAATTAAATTTATCATAGGTTGCAGAAATACTTGCGTATGTTCCTTGGAGGGGATACATATGTTCAATATGCCCAAAGTGGTGAAGGGTATCATATAGTCGGCCCAGCCCGACTTTACTGCTTTTCTTACTGGTTTTTTAGATAAATTATGCCAGGTTTGTTTGGATGGATTTATCAAAATAACATGTGTCTGGTTTTAAATTTTGACTTACTGTCAAAAAATATAAAAATGGCTAGATACAAATACAGTACTCCGATAAAACAGCTAATTGCCAGTGGTGGAAAAAGTTATCACAAAAAATTATTTGGGAGAAATAATCTATGAATAAATCAGTAATTTCACTGATCAACAAATTGTCATAGTAGTAAAAAATCCCAATTTTAAAGTTCTACGGAATTGGTGTGAGGGTTATCGTTGGATAGAAAAGGAGAGCATGGACGAGCCATTGTAGCAGTTCTACATGCCCGAATTGGCTTTCTCAAAAGCTCATATTCATTGGAAATCGACTTAAATCCATTATTTTTTGATCATTTCTCCGATAAAATCGGAGGAATTATCGAAGTTGGCCGGCATGTTAGCAGTCGTAACATCGCCCAGGAGCTAAAAATCGACCAAAAAATTGTTTTAAACCATTTACATAAATCTGGATTCAAAAAGAAGTTCCATGTTTGGGTGCCACACCTATAAACCGAAAAAAATGGGATGGATCGAATTACCATCTGCGAAGCCTTGGCCAAACGGAATGAAATACACCCATTTCATAAACGTATGGTGACTGGAGATATTAAGTGGATCACATACAATATCTCTTTGAGAAAATAATCATTCCAAAGAGCGGTGAAGCACCTCAAACTGTGGCCAAACCATGACTAACGTCCAGGAAGTTTTTGCTATGCATTTGGTGGGACAGGAAGGGGATTATTTGTTATGAGTTGCTACCATATGGCCAAACGCTGATCTATACTGTCAACAACTGGACCGATTGAAGATAGCAATAGACCAGCAACAGCCAGAATTGGCCAACAGGAGAGGTGTCGTGTTCCACCAGGACAACGCTAGGCCACACACATCTACAGTTACTCGCCAGAAACTTCGGGAGCTTGGTTGGGAAGTTTTAATGGCGGATGCATTAAAACTTCACAGTCCGGATTTAGCACCAAGCGACTATAATCTTTTTCTTGCATTGCAAAATTTCTTTAACCCTTTGAGCCTCGAATTTTTTCCCGCAATCTTAGAACAAATTTCTGTTCACAGATTTAATGCAACTATCCTAAATAGGATAGACACAAAATTTTACATCGATATATCCTTGCAGATACAGTACATTCTTTAGGAAAAATTAAAGTCCAATATCAAGAAAACCAAATGCAAAATCGTCTGAAAAATCATTTTAAATTATCCTCTGTATTCAATTTTACAAGAATCAAAAATAATTCTGAGGGTAGAATTTGTACAATTTGAATACGAAGCGATTTAAATAATTTGGACTGTATACACAAATTAGTACTGTACACAAATTTACCCTCTTCTCTATATTGAAAAGCTCATAACTTTACCAAATTTTTGAATTTTTTTTATGTTTTTTTTTTGATATGTGTCGTTCATAATCAGGTCTTGACATATGAAATCCAAAAAATATATATCTACTAGCTGCATATAAAATATAAGCTCTAAAACATTTTGTTGCCTGTGGGCAACATTGGGCCACAAAGGGTTAATGATAAAAATTTGGTATGTAGGGAAGATTGTGAAAATCCTACTCATAGAGTTGTATTATGAAGTTACTTTTTAAAATGGCAACAAATCATACAACAAAAAGGTGCATATTAGGTCCAAATCGGACATTCCGAAGCATGTTAAATAAAGTCCTATTATAGTTCATATAAAAATAATGGATTTCTTTTTCCCCAACCTAATATTATGTCCTAAGGTGACTTTAAGTTTAATATTAAAGGCACATTTACGAAAAAAGTACCGTGATTTCGATTATTATGGAATTTGATCTATTTACGAGATTTATGAGGTAATGGATCTGATTGATTGTACAAATCTGTTGAAAACCGCTTAGATTCCTTCCGCTGAATAAAATGTACGCTTGTTTGGGTGTTTAAATTTGACAATAACTTCAAACAAACACCGAACTATATCAAAATGGCCAACCCAATTATGAAACTTACACCCTATGGAAAAATCTTTGGAGTACCATAGATAACAAAATCAAAACATATTCAGAAGCAAACAAACATAACCTCTTCCCAAAGGTTCAGGATGCAAGGAATAGTATAACCAAGGATCAAATTGATTCAATTCCTCGCAAGTGTGCTGCAGTAATAAAACATAATGGTTACGCTGTCGACTACTAGCTAAATTTACTTATTTAATAGAAAAAAAGAAAAACGTTGCATTAATTTCGTGCAAATCGAAAGGTATATAGGATAGGGACTTTGGTACACCATTTACATATATATAGAAGCTATATTCTGAACTTATTTCCACAAAACTATTCGCACATCATTCTACACTTCATTCAGTTCGCTGTGCCAAATTTCCTGCAAATCAAAAGGTACATATGGACTTTGGTACACCCTTTACATTAAATCGGAAGATAATATATATGGGAGCTATATCTAAATCTGAACCGATTTTTAAGAAACTTACCACACATAATTCTAGGATCAATTCAATACGCCAAATTTCGTGCATATAGAATAAACTGTGCTAAATTCTATCCAATTCGAATCATAACTGCCACCTGTACTTTGCTCACAAAAATACATGGACGGACATGTATAAATCGACTCAGAAAGTGATTCTATGCGTATTCTCAAATGGGATGTGTCTATCTCGTTTCCTTTTGCCTGTTACAAACATATGCACATAGACATAATACCCTGCACCACAGTGTGGTGAAGTGTATAATAATTTGTTGTAGGTCGATTTGATGCCCATTGAGAATAGAAACTAGTGAGCGGAGCAGTATAGTCGGACGGGTCCGACCACACGATACCCTACACAACTACTCTAACTTTCTGCGGAGTTTTATTCCGATCCTTGGCAATATTTTGCGATATTTGCACCCTCTTGACCGACTTGTGATCAACAAATATTATTCATATTCAGTAAAACCCTTCTAATTACATGTCAAGATTCCTTTTACCGTGGGTTGTAATGGGAATCTGTATTGTAAAGGGAATCGAAAAAAAACCAAAAAATTAAGTTTTCGTTCCACTTCATCCCAATATTATTATCTGATCATCACCGAAAATTATAGGCGTTGTCCTTGACCATACCAGGATCCTCATGGAAAGTTTCAAAGCGGTAATGAGTTACTAAGTAATATATGAATACGTAAGCACCTGTAAATATTTAAGAGTAACTCCCACATCCGAGTACATACGACAATATAATTGGTATCATTTAAAAGGTCAATCACTTCTCTTGGACATACTATCAACTTATTGAGTCTATGTCCTTCGGGAGTAAATATATACGCCACAGAAAACAAATTTTGTTTTTTTTTTTACACAAAAGTCAGGTTCCATTGGATCCGTTAAATAATGGCCGATCTTTATTAAAAAAAGCATGCTAATTCTTTGGCCCGATGCCCTTTTCAATGTAAAAATTCGCGATGTGTGGACCATAATTGCGGCATCTGGAGCGACGAGAAAAGTGTTTGGTCCATATGATGCCCTAAATATTAACCGATCTTTACCAAAAACAATAGGGATCTTCATTGGCCAGAACCCATCCTACATGCAAAATTTCGTGAAGATTGGCCCATAACTGAGGCCTGTATCGTGTTTACAAGTTATAACAGACAGACGGACGGACGGACGGACACACATTCCTAGATAGACTCAGCTAGTCGAGATATGACGATCGGTATACATAAAGTTAGGTCTAGGACCAATATTTTGAGGCGTTACAAACTCTTGGGCTGCACAAAGCTATAATACCCTGACAATATAGTTGTGTAGGGTATAAATACTAAATTCCCGTACCATTGGTTAAGGAGATACTGATATATGGGGGCAATCCTCATTTTTCCGTTCTGTTCATAAACCATTGTAAATTTATATATGATTCTCAGAAACTACATTATGCCATACCTATTATACACATCCCTCTTTCCAGTCATTATTGTTTTGGTTTCCATTGCAACTACTAATGTGTACAGCTAACATTTTACAGTATTTGCAATGTAAATTAATTTCTTTAGTAGTAAAAACGCATAAACTTTACACTCATTCTTGGCATGCAACTAGACTGAAGGGAGACTTGCTGCATTAGCCGGCGTCCTGTCCTGCTTGCCAGCCAACCAACATTAAGGACAATCGACGAACTTAATAAATGAACTAATCTCAATTACTTTATGACTTCCCTTTTGGATTACCATTTCATTTAAATATCGTTTTCATTTTGCAGGGAGCCAATTCGCATGGCCAACTTGGCCTTGGTCATGAATCGGAAATGTGCACAACACCACAATTATTAAGGAAATACTCATTCACACCGTCCAGTGTGCGATCCATACAAGGTGGCGGCGGTCATGTGCTAGTTTTAGATGCCTGTGGTCAAGTTCATGCTTGTGGCTGGAATAATCGAGGTCAACTGGGTTTGGATTTGATGCGAGATTGTGTTAGTGAATTTAAGACAATACCGGGAAAGTTTTTCGATGTAAGAAGTTAACTCGGGAAATAAAAGAATAGCAAATTGTTAATCAAGTGAATTCCATTTCTAGGATGTTGCTGTCGATGTTATTGCCTGTGGTTGGGATATATCTGGCTGTATAACAATGTCGCGTAAACTATATGTTTGGGGTTCCAATGCCTTCCAGCAGTTGGGTATTTGTCAACGTGGTTTCACTTCTATACGCAAACCGTTTCACATGCAATTGCCTCGAAATGATATTCCTGTGCGTGTAACCTTTGGTATGCGCCACACCGCCGTACTTACAGACGATTCGAAAATTTACGTATATGGACGTTTGCGAGCTGCTGATAGTTGCCCTGAAGAATTAAATATTATAAAAATTAGTCAAAGTGCCATGGTTGTAAAACTTTTACCACGACTAAGTTCCGAGCTAAGAATTCAAAATATTTCGAGTGGTCAGAATCATTTAATGATGCATTTGGCACCGACCGAAGATCAACCGGAAAATAATGCACCATCCCGTAGAGTTCTAATATTGGGTGATAATAAATTTGGTCAGGCAAATGCCTTTCAGTTTGATGAGGAAATTACACAAATCGCCACTGGATGGACTCATAATGCGGTCATGTTAAAGGATCTACGTATTATGATGTGGGGTCGTAATTGTTATGGCCAATTAGGTTTGGGTTCATACACCGAAAATCATCCGACACCAATGGAACTGAAGTTGTCACATGCTATATTACCGAAGGAAATCCATTTGGGATCTGAACATGGTTTAATAATGACCAAAGAGGGTGATGTTCTTACATGGGGTTGGAATGAACATGGTAATTGTGGCAATGATTCGACGCATAATCTGTAAGTTAAGATTGGTTTTATTTTTTTATATTTTTGTATTTATTAATTTATTTGATTCATTGCATTATTTTTCAGCTCCAAACCAAGTATGGTTGATTTGCCTACCTCTTGTAAAACCGTTGGAACTGGTGCTGGATTTTGTATGGTTATATGTGATAGAACTAATTAAATTGTTGTAATTTGTTGTTGTTTTGGATTAAGACAAAGAACAGTTGTATATGTTGTAGGTATTGTATTAAGCTTTAAGTAAAAAAATATTTACTTTTTTGATAGCTTTGTATGTTTTCAAGTAAGTTTTATGCACAATAAATTAACAAAATAATTTATCAAACAATGTACCAAGACACATTTTACTGCAGTACGAGCAAAGGGCCACAAGGAATCGTAAATTATATTCACTTTTGAGGGCGATTTTTTATAAAATTAAAAAAAATAAAAGGTAGGTTTCTTTAGATTGGGAACACCTAGAAACATTGAACCAAAATATCAAATTACAGTCAATTCCATTGCAAAACTAAACTAAAAAAAACTAGACTAAAATGTTTGTATATCGTTTATCATCTGTCCGTCTGTCCATTGTAATTTGTAATCTGATTATCATGATCCGAATCAAATGATGATTGAAAAAATTATCTTCTGAAAACACAACATTAGCACTATTTTAAATAAACGATTCAGTATGTGTGGGCATCTTTCAATAATATCCCTTGATGAATTCTGGAAATTTTGTATGTATATCTGGCATAAGTTTACTTCTATTGGTTTTGGTAGTGTCCGGTTTATATTTAGAGGCCACAATTATGACCCAAACCCAGGAAATAGTAATATACCATATTTATAGTTCATATAACATATATATAGTTCACGTGGAGAAGTTACATATAGTGTCAATTTTCAAATGTTTTACTCCCTTCATCATAAAGTGGAGTGTATATTCCATTTGTCACAGCCCTTTCTGACTCATTTCTTTTAGCTTGTCGTGCATCTACAAACTCTTGAGACAATGCATACATTTAACATAGATGTGTAGGGTATACAAACATTTTGTTCTGATTGGTTGAATCATTTCTTGTAAATTAAAAAACCTTTCACGAAAATCTTTCCAGTTTTTGATTCCTGTTCATTTTTATTATTTAGATATTTTGGTTATTTGAAGTAAAATTAGAAAAAAATCACGAAACTTCAGTTTTATCTACAAAAATGAATTAATTTTTTAAGGCGAATTAAAAATTACAACAATTTGTTTTGACATTCAATGTTACAATCAACTGGGTCGATGCGACTACCTAATATATCTACCTTGGATAATTCGTTTGGAAAATGTGTCTAAAAATCTTGAAATGATGATGACAGATTATAGAAATAGATGACAGATAGAGGACATAAAATTTATAGATGACAGCCAGGTTAAAATAGATTATTCTCCTCTTAAATAGAGGACGTATGGTCACCTTACTGTATGGGATATAAACTATCATTTTATTGTCAAATAACGTCTCTCTCGTTAAATACACCACAGTTAAAGCACTGGAAGATTTACTGTTGAATAGTAGGCGTTCATGTCTACAGGCAGTGCTCAGGATGCACTTTCCCAACCCCTTCAGGTTTTTGATGATGTTGTAGTTTAAAGCAGGTTCTATAGTTGAAATGAAGTTTAGAATCGGTGGAAAGTGAGCACCCACTAATCTGTGCCGTCTGGAGGCCACAACTGGACAGCGACATAGGAGTATACAGTAATTAGTAACATGGTCCCACTGATATTGCAATGACCAGTAATAACTCCTGTCATTACTCTAATTTCAGCTTTTCTCAGGTTCAACAGTGAGTTGGTTCTTTTGGCTGACAGAGTCCGCAAGATAGATCTTGACAAATTGCACCTAGGCTTGTGGTGCCAAAGTTCCGGAAAAGGTCTGTATAAGAAGTCAGGCCGTCCAGGAGAGGGTTACTAAGGTTCCAGTCGTCTCTATTGAGGATAACAAAATCTACATCGTCAAATCTCAGAACTGGTGATAGCCGCTTAGACCAACGTGTAAGGTCCAATGTGAAACCTTATTTAAGAATAATCATTGTACTCTTGAGAGGAAAAACAAAGAAGTGTATGTTAGCAAAAAATAATAATATTATTTAATACTCCTACTAAAGGATCGGATAAACCAGTAAGGAAAGTAGTAAAGTCGGACGGGCCGACTATATGATACCCTTCACCACTATGGTATATTAAAGAGGACTATTAGCATGAAATTGGATGAAATAAAATATGTGATATTTATATAAATGTGAATCTACCTAGATCTATCCATAAAGTATGTAAATCGACTTCAAACAAATATAAATAGGTCATCCGTTGGGCTATGTCTGTACTTCTAGAAAACGCAACTATATAATTTTATGCTCAATTTTGTACGATGTGCAAACTTTGATGTCAATCTGACTAACATGAGGAGTTTAATATGGTGCGTCAATTACTTCAAATCAATCTATAATAAAAAGGGCTATATCTATCTAAATCTGGACCGATTTTCACGAAACTTGGCAGACATCATTCTAGACCTAAATGATAAGACTGTACCAAATTTCGTGCAAATCGAAGGATATATAGGGACTGTGTTGCACCATTTACATGAAATCGGACGAAACTATATATGGGAGCTATATCTAAATCTTAACCGATTTTCTCGAAAGTTGGCAGACGTCATTCTAGGCTCAATTCAGTACGTTATGCCAAATTTCGTGCAAATCGAAAGATATATAGGGACTTTGGGGCACCATTTACATGAAATCGGACGAAACTATATATGGGAGCTATATCTAAATCTGGACCGACTTTCTCGAAACTTGGCAGACATCATTCTAGACCTAAGTTATTAGGCTGTACCAAATTTCGTGCAAATCGAAAGATATATAGGGACCTTGGGGCACCATTTACATGAAATCGGACGAAACTATATATGGGAGCTATATCTAAATCTGGACCGAGTTTCTCGAAACTTGGCAGACATCATTCTAGACCTAAGTGATTAGGCTGTACCAAATTTCGTGCAAATCGAAATATATATAGGGATTTTGGTGCACCATTTACACGAAATCGGACGAAACTATATATGGGAGCTATATCTAAATCTGGACCGATTTTCTCGAAACTTCGTAGACATCATTCTAGACTCAATTCAGTACGTTATGCCCAATTTCGTGCAAATCGAAAGATATATAGCGAATTTGGTGCACCATTTACATGAAATCGGACGAAACTATATATGGGAGCTATATCTAAATCTGGACCGATTTTCACGAAACTTGGCAGACATCATTCTAGACCTAAATGATTAGGCTGTACCAAATTTCGTGCAAATCGAAAGATATATAGCGACTTTGGTGCACCATTTACATGAAATCGGACGAAACTATATATGGGAGCTATATCTAAATCTGGACCGATATTCTCGAAACTTGGCAGACACCACTCGAGGCTTAATTCAGTGCGTTATGCAAAATTTCGTGCAAATCGAAAGATATATAGGGACTTTGGGGCACTATTTACATGAAATCGGACGAAACTATATATGGGAGTTATATCTAAATCTTGACCGATTTTCACGAAACTTGGCAGACATCATTCTAGACCTAATTCATTATGCTGTACCAAATTTCGTGCAAATCGAAAGATATATAGGGACCGTTTACATTAAATCGGTTAAATATATATATGGGAGCTATATCTAAATCTGAACCGATTTTTCCCAATTTCAATAGGGTTCGTCCTTGGGCCAAACAAATGAGCTGTGCCAAATTTCATCCAATTCGGATCATAAATGCGACCTGTACTTTGCTCACAAAAATACATGGACAGACAGACGGACGGACGGACGGACATGCATAAATCGAATCGAAAGTGATTCTATGCATATTCTCAAAAGGAACCATGTGTCTATCTCGTTTCCTTTTGCCTGTTACAAACATATGCACAAAGACATAATACCCTGTACCACAGTGTGGTGAAGGGTATAATAATTGTTTATGGAATTTTGTTACCCAATTCGAACTCTAAATATAAAATAACAGATAATTGGGTGGGAAAATGTGTCTAAAAATCCTGAAAATACATTTTCTAAATATTTCACTGAAATTTCATAAAATGTAGATGACAGATTATAGAAATAGATGACAGAAAGAGGACATAAAATTTATAGATGACAGCCAGTTAAAATAGATTGTCCTCTTAAATAGAGGACGTATGGTCACCTTATTGTAGGGGATATAAACTATCACTTTATTATCAAATAACGTCTCTCTCGTTAAATACACCACAGTTAAAGCACTGAAAGATTTACTGTTGAATAGTAGGGGCGATCATGTCTACAGGCAGTGCTCAGGATGCACTTTCCCAATCCCTTCAGGTTTCTGATGATGTTTTAGTTTAAAGCATGTTCTATAGTTGAAATGAAGTTTAGAATCGGTGGAAAGTGAGCACACACTAATCTGTGCCGTCTGGAGGCCATAATTGGACAGTGACATAGGAGTATACAGTAATTTGTAACATGGTCCCACTGATATTGCAATGATCCGTAATAACTCCTGTCATTACTCTAATTTCAGCTTTTCTGAGGTTCCACAGTGAGTTGGTTCTTTTGTCTGACAGAGTCGGCAAGATAGATCTTGACACATTGCACCTAGGCTTGTTGTGTCAAAGTTCCGGAAAAGGTGACAGATGGGTGGTTTGGTTGAGTCATCGTTAGCTGTTAGTGTTTCCAAAACTACTCTACACTCGAGGACGACCTTGATGTACGGTGACTATCCACAAAGATAGTCACCGGTTCAACGATCTCTGCATCCAGAATTTGTATAAATTCACCTGCCTTCCAAATCGCGAAGATTTCTGCTTGGAAAACTCTACAATTGCTATCGAACTTGTAGGTAAGCTCAAGGCTTAGCCCTTCACAGTAGACGCCGGTCCCTGTACCTTCTTCCATCTGGGATCTGTCTGTATAAGAAGCCAGACCGTCCAGGAGAGGGTTACTAAGGTTCCAGTCGTCTCTATTGTGGATAACAAAATCTACATCGTCAAATCTCAGAACTGGTGATAGTCGCTTAGACCAACGTGTAAGTTCCAATGTGAAACCTTATTTAAGTATAATCATTGTACTCTTAGGAGGAAAAACAAAGAAGTTTATGTTTGCAAAAAAAAAAAAAAAAAAATAATAAT